TGATCTTCAGAGAGAACACCATTGCCACCAAGTCCATTGAGGAATACCTCAAGTTGGTGGGACAGCAATATCTTCATGATGCATTGGGTATGGAGGAGAAAAACATGTTTTATTTTCTTCCCCTTTTAAGTTATTTCACCCTCATGAAACACACAAATCAAGCTCAAATTCTGCATGTTATTTAGTTCTATGTTATTACAGTGTTTGGGTTTCAGCAGTAAGAAGTCTCTGTGGTACTAACCAGTACAGGATCAGCAGAGTCACTTATTAAATATGTACAGAAAGAGAAAACCCATCAGCACATCCAACTAATCCCAGATACTCAAGTTCCTGATCCAACAATACACTATAATAATCTTGGTTGTCACTACTTAGGGTGATCTGTTCCCCCCCCCCTCAAATATTAGGCATTTATATCTTGTTAAAATATAACACCTAAATCTCCAAAGTATTAACATTTGCTATCGTGTATCACATTTTATTGACTAAGCCAGTCATTTGCAGTTCCGAATTTGGTCATGAAATCCAGGTATTAACCACTAGTAAGACCAAGTAGTTTTGTGTACTTCATGGTAAAATACACATTAGTTCCTTTAAGAACATAGTCATTTCTTTTACCCCCATCTCCCCCATACTTAAAGAATCTAGAACAGCACTATCCTATAGAAATATAATGGAGTCACATGTGAGTAATTTAAATTTTCTAGTAGTCAAAATATAAAAGGTAAAGAGAAATTGGTAAGATTAATTTTAATAACATTTTATTTAACCCAACATACCCAAATATAATGAGGGCTTTTTTTAAGATTTATTTGTTTGTTTGTTTGTTTGTTTGTTTATACAAGCACTGGGTACAGTCAGAAGCAAGGGAGGGTGAGAGAATTCACCAGAGCCAGAGGGGAGAGCAGAGCAGGCAGAAGGACAGAAGTACACTGCTGAGGGGAGCAGCGGGTGGCAGGAGAGGTCTGCGCGCCATGTGAGACCCTCGCCTGGCGGCCGGGGATTGAACCGGCACTGCAGAGGCTGCAGGCAGCTTTGCAACCCAGCACTCAACCACTGAGCTACCAGGGGAGGCCTAATGAGGGCTTTTACTTTTTTTATATAAACTCTTTGAAATTCAGTGTATATTTTATATATTTTTCACATTTAAGTTTGTACAAGCTACCTTTCAGAGGCTCAGTAATCACAAGTGACTATCAAAGAGTAAAGTGTGTTGAAGGAATGGATTGTTTGCCCTAAAGGAGCTTACAGTATGGAGAGAGAAGGATATCCCTATACCAAAAAAAAAAAAAAGAGAGAGAAATCTTGTGCTTTCTCCAGTAATAAATTGATTCAAGCTGATGGGATTATAAGGTATCCCCTGTGAAATACACTCATGGTGTGTGTAGAATGAAGACAGGGAATGTTATGTAAAACAGAAATTAGTCAAGAGAATTGATGGGGATTAGCATGGAGAAAAGAACCACATAGAAACAAAAAGGCATAGGGTTTTGGGAGAACCAGGCACGTACTGAATAAAACCAATTAGCAGAAAAATGAGACGAAAAAGACAAGTCAACAACAAAAAAGATTAAGAAACACAATTAGAATCAATTTGAATGTCTAGCTAAGGAGTTTGGGTTTTACAATAATCATGGCAAGCCACTGAAAGTTTTGAGCAGGGCACTTTCAATAGTTTAACAGAATGAAAATTAAAATAAATTGGTAAAGAAAGCAACTTAAAGAGGAGAAACTGGTTAAAAAGCCATTGTAAGGCAAGAAATAATGAGATTCTGGGCCTCCCCAGTGGCACAGGGGTTAAAGACAGCACTACCAAGCTATTGCCAGCCACTGCAGCACAAGTTCTGTCCCTGGGCCTGCCAGGGAGCTAACCCACATGGCTCAGCAAACCTCTCCTGACTCCCCACTTTCTCTGGTGAATCCTCTAACCACCCCCCCCACACACACACACCTCTGGCTTATACCCTAGTTCTTGTATGCATAAATAAATAAATCTTTTTAAAAAATTATATAGATACTGGAAAATACTTAAAAAAAAAAAAAAAGAGAATGAGATTCTAAATGAGATCATCCACAAGAACAAGATCAGAGAAAAGGTAGATGGGAGAAATATTAAAGAAGTTTAACTGATAGGACTTGGCAGCTTTTCAGTTTGTGAGGACTCATGGGAGGCGATCAGATACTATAGTGAATTTTGGACCTTTGTGAGTGGCTAGAAGATGAGATTACTAACAGAAATAGAGAACATAAAAGTAGTAGACTTGTAAGATGGAAAATGACATTTTTATTTTTACATGTATTCAATTTGAACTTCTAGTAAGAAATTCTAGGTTCGATATAAAATCCTAAGATATCTGGCTGGCTCTTGGAAATTTAGGACCCATGTGAAAGGGGTAAATGAAGCCTTGAGATTGCCAGAGCAGAAAGAGGATAGGAGCAAAGACAGATCTTAAAACATACCTGAGTTTATGGTGTAGAAAGGAGAATCAGAGAAATGTACATGCACACATGGTGCGGACAGGGGCAGGGCAGAAAACCAGGAAAACACTGAGTCTAAGACACCAGGAGAAAAGGAAATATCAGTGGAGTCAGAGATTGAGGGAAGTAAAGATTAAAAAGAAAAAAATGACTGTTGCATTTGGCAACTTAATGATCACTAGTGATGGCTGGGACTGATATTAGGAGGACAGAGACCAGGTTGTATGGGGTAAAAAGTGAATGACTTTAAGAAATAAGACACTATGTTTACATGGAATTGGTAATTGCTACTCATATAGTAGTGATTAGTTCCTACCCTGGAAAACTAAATTCTTTCTTTCTGTTTCCTATCTTCATTTTTTATTTTGGTTTCTTTCTCTAAGTCGTGTGTACATCTTTAGTTTAAAATCTAATGGGAATTTATGAGAAGAATAGTGAAAATGAATTTTCACTAACATTAGAAAAGGTACAGAAAAATTTATAGATTCACTTACATAAAATTATTACAGCCTCAATAAAAATTTATTTTAAAAAGGATCTTATTACAAATCTTATGGTTTGCTGTAATGATTTGTATTATCTTTGAGAAGCCATGATAAAGTATCTTAAACAGATAAAGTGTCCCTCCATTCTGTAGACATAGAAGTGAGTATTTGTTGGCCATGTACTTCTTAAAAATCAAATATTTTGCATTTTACCATTCAGTGTGCTTTTTTCTAAAAAAGGATTTCCAAGTGAAATAATTTCCGAAGTGAGAAGTAGATTCATGTCCGTCAAATAGGACAGTGAATAATTTAATAACAGATTGGCTCAATGAGACATGAAAATTAGTTCAGTGAATATGGAAGACATTCACATAACCTACAAATATCTCTGTTATATTCATTACACAAGAGCAAGGGCCACGATGGTGAAATGACTGCTATTTCCAAGAGTATAAACAACAACAAAAAAAAGCTTCTTTAGGACAGCCATTCTACTGCCTTTTTTTTAATTTATTTTATTATGTGTACAAGAACTGGGGTACAGGCCAGAGGTGTGGTGGCAGGGGAATGAGAGGATTCACCAGAGACAGAGTGGGGAACAGAACAGGCAGATTGACTGAAATACACTGCTGAGGGGAGCAGTGGGCGAGTCAGGAGAGGTCTGCTGTGCCATGTGGGCAGCTCCCTGTCCAGGGATGGAACTCATGCTGCGTGGCTGTGGATAGCTTCATAGGTTGTGTCTCATAGGTGGCCTCCCTCGAGCCACCAGGGAGGCCCCCTACTGGCTTCTTCCCACTTAATGCCATACATTTATTATTAGCCTTACTAATAAGACTAATGATTGGTTCTTCTCCTATATTTTACCTTTATGGCAGAAGTTCTATTTTGGAAACAATTTATAGAATATGCCTTGAAACCAACGTGAATGCAGACATGTTTTAAGAGAGTAATAAGTGATTTTTGAAATAGCAACCGTAACAAATTCCAATATTTCAGTACCTGAGAAAGATTCTATTATTTTTATCACATGATGCTGTCCTTGCTATGGCCAGAGCCTCTATTGACAAAATTGAGAAAGATTTCATGATATGTATTACAATAAAAAGTTTCACAGTGAAAGCTCAGTAAACCAAAAACTAAATTAGTAAGTACAACTGAGCACTTGTTATATTACATACACTTTTAGCAAAAAAAAAAAAAAAAGTTGCTATTCCCAGATAGCCTGAGGAATTCCAGGGAAAATTGAGTTAAAAGTTGCCATTCATATTGTGTAATATCTATCTGCTTTTTAGCCAATCTTCATTTATCGTAATTAGAGCACTAACGTTACTACACAGATTCTACCTCAGTTAGACTTAAATCGTCCCTCTGCTAGCCCCTTTTACCATTCTGATTGAAATCAGATGGCATGTTGTCCTGTGACACACAGAACACCATCTGTGAGATAAAGTAAAGGAGTTCCTGAGAAGATCTGATGTCCATCCCTGGTGGCGGAAGCAAATTCCTTTGAAGCAGTAATACACCCATAACCTACTGACTTATTTCTACATGCGAAATATGGCTGCTAGAAAATAATTAATTATTTATATAGAAATCAGAGTAGAACAAACTCACATGTAAACAACAAAGTAAGTACCTACTCCCCTTGACTTGGATTTTTCTTTCCCCCTTCAAGGGCAAGAGAGCAAATGTAGATGGACTCTTGAAGCTGTCTCAATAATTTTTTTAAATATTTATTTATTTATGCATACAAGCAACTGGGGTACATGCCAGAGGTGCAGGGGGAGGGGAGAGTGAGAGGATTCACCAGAGACAGAGTGGGGAACAGAACAAGCAGACTGACTGAAATACACTGCTGAGGGGAGCAGCGGGCCAGACAGGAGAGGTCTCCTGCACCATGTGGGTAGCTCCCTGGCCAGCGGGGAGAGGCTGTGGAGGCTGCAGATATCTTCACAGTGCTGTGCTTAACCCCTTGTGCTACCAGGGAGGCCCTGTCTCAATAATTTTTGGTCAAATAAGCAACATCTAGATACATACCAATAAAAGATTCAGCTTCAATATGGTACATTTCATTTCTGGACATAGGTTCTATTTAGAAAAATGAAAATCATTTTCATTATCTTGGCGGGCTTTAAATATGGCATAATCAAATTTTTTCAAATACTTTTTATGCTTCCACTACAGATAATTCATTTACTTCTGAACCCCTGGGTTATTTTACCCTTCTTCAAAAAAATAAAAGAAAAATATTCTTAAAATTCTGGATCTATTTATTAATATATTTCCCTATTTCCTATGTTCCCTAATATATTTCCCTATTAAAACACTTCCTTGAAATACATATAACCTTATAGAACTAACTAAACACCTTATTTATGATATAAATTTAGAGGTGGGCCAATTTTTGCATGGAGTATTTGACACGGTTTTAATTTTAGGTGGTCTTTATTATTTTTTTTTTATATTTATTTATTTATTTATACATACAAGCACTGGGTACAGTCAGAAGGGCGGGAGGGTGAGAGAATTCACCAGAGCCAGAGCAGGGAGCAGAGCAGGCAGAAGGACCGAAGTACACTGCTGAGGGGAGCAGTGGGCAGCAGGAGGGGTCTGCATGCCATGTGGGACCCTCCTCCGGTGGCCAGGGAGCAGCCGAGGATCGAACCGGTGCTGCAGAGGCTGCGGGCAGCTTCACAACCCAGTGCTCAATCGCTGCACCACCGGGGAGGCCGTTTGGTGCTCTTTAAGATGAGATAGATTGAATGGAAACACATAAGATTCTTTGAACAGGTCAGATTCAAACCTTGTGAGACTTGGTAAACATTTTTAAGTCTTTCACTAGCTTTTGGTCATTTCACCTTAGGAAAAGTTATTTTACAGTTGTATAGTTTTTTGTACATAACAATACATACTATATGGAGCTTCTGTCAGGCACTATCTGTTCATGCATTCATTATTTCTGATCCTCACCATAGCACCATTTGGAAGTAATTATAAGTAAGGCAGCAGAAGCTTAGACTTGTTCAGTACTTTCCAAGACCCCGCAATCAGCTAAGTGATGCTTCTAATGCTTAATCCTAGATCTGTTTCATCCCAAAGCCTCTACTTTTTCTATACACCACTTTCCTTTCCTGTTCTCCAAGCACTTTTCTTCCAAACAATTGCTTCTCCTCTGGCATAGCTGTTTTTAAAAGCTTTCATTTACCTCACTACTAGGGATATTTTGATAGAAAGTACTTTTCATATTTCTACTGCTACTTAATTTTGCAGAAAATATTGTTTATTTTCATGAAATGAATAATTAGCCTGAAACTTCAGTAATTTAAGCAGATTTGAAAGGATCATTCAGAGATCTACTCCTTTTTCAGAGACCTATAAAAACCAAGAACACACATTACCGTATTAAGCTCCTGCAATGCTTTGGGAGCTATTTGAGGGAATAGGGGTTTGTATAAAACCTGGTGTCTGATCTTTAAGAATAGTCATCCTATGGGCCTCCCCGGTGGCGCAGCCATTGAGCTCTGGGTTGCGAAGCTGCCCGCAGCCTCTGCAGCGCCGGTTCTATCCCCGGCTGCCGGGCGAGGGTCCCACATGGCGCACAGACCTCTCCTGATGCCCGCTGCTCCCCTCAGCAGTGTATTATTTCGTCTGTCTGCCTGTTCTGTTCCCCGCTCTGGCTCTGGTGAATTCTCTCACCCTCCCGCGCTTCTGACTGTACCCAGTGCTTGTATAAATAAACAAATAAATCTTTAAAAAAAAAGTCCTTCCTAGAAAGGAGGTAAAAATTGTGATCAAATAAGCACAAATCTGTGAAAGAGTAGACATCTGTAAGATATTATATCATGGAGGATAATAGGAAAGATTTGTTCTTTTATGGAATATTGAGCATATCTTTATAGAGGATAGTATATATGAACAGAGCTTCTAACCTAATTTTACCTGGGGAAAGTATATACAAATTATATAAAGAGATGTTCTGCTACAGCTTTGTGATGTGTTCAATAACTATGCCCATGTTTGGCACCAGCATTGGCATTTAAAACCTTCAGTAGACTATTCAATCATACTTGGGTTATTTATTCTAAAATTATATTATTCTTTAAGGTAGTATCATTTTTTAATATAAATACAAAGATGGTGATGATAATAATTACTGTTTTTCTACTTCTAGGATAAGGAAAATAAGCATTTGGGATGATGTAGCTCTTAAGTCCAGGGCAATAATCCATCATAGGCAAACTTTTATGCCTTCATTGTCAGGTCTCAGAAAATAATTCCCCATTATACATTTTTGGACAGAAATTCTAATCCTTTTATTCTATTCAGGAAGATACTATTTATAGTGATACTGTCTATCTTCTCTTTCAACTAGGGGAGTTCATCAAAGCTTTGTATGAGTCAGATGAGAATTGTGAAGTGGATCCCAGCAAATGTTCATCTAGTGAACTGATAGACCATCAGAGCAACCTGAAAATGTGCTGTGAGCTGGCTTTCTGCAAGATCATCAACTCTTACTGGTGAGCTGATATCAGTGCCTCATCCCCTGCTTATGGAATTTAATCTTCCCATATGAAAGTCATCACAATGTTAACAGTTATTTCCTAACCAAAGGAAGAGCTTAGGGGGAAAAGTGAGAATTTCCTACCTCAGTGTTGTCTCAAATCTAAATCTCCAGTGTAAGCAGAAGTTCCCCTGTGCTGACTATCTACATAAATTGTAATGTTTCCCAAAATATTAGCACCATATTCTCTATCACAAAAAGTATTTTAATGGCTCTCTACAGTGCTTACTAGTGTTAAAAAGATACATTAGTGATTTTTGATCATTGTTCCTACCATAGCTATTGGTGAGATTTGGAAGATTTTTGGCAAACGGTCTTTAGTGAGATTATGTTAAACCAGATGGTTTAGTCAGAAGCTAAACCATTTTCCCACTTTGCAAAGCTAAATTTAGGTAATCCCTGTATTTTGTGACTTTGGGTTTCCAGGCTCCTTCTGGGCTTCTGTGAATTTTCCACCACCTCTCAGAAGTGAAATTAGGTAGAGAACTCTCAACTCTGCCCATAGCCTGGCTCTAGAGCAGAGGTGTGTCAACCAGGGTGGGGAAATCCCTTGTGCTTTCTTGGGTTATGGTCGAGGTTTTGATCTTTTCTCCCTCCCTAGTGTTTTCCCTCGTGAGTTGAAAGAAGTATTCGCATCATGGAAGCAGCAGTGCCTGAACCGTGGCAAACAAGACATCAGTGAGCGGCTCATCAGCGCCTCATTGTTTTTGCGTTTCCTGTGCCCAGCCATTATGTCTCCTAGTCTCTTCAACCTCATGCAGGAATATCCTGATGACCGCACCTCCAGGACCCTAACTCTTATTGCCAAGGTCATTCAGAACTTGGCTAACTTTGCCAAGTAGGTGTTGCTACCATAAGGACTTTTTAAAAGCATTGTTTAAAAATTATAGAAGAACTAAAATTTGAATGGGGATGGGGAGCCTCATCGTGCATGTTATAAGATTGTCATTGTGGTGTTATTTAAAAAAAATAGAAACTTTTTTAAAGATGTTAGGAGAAAACAGTTGGAGGTGAAATGCACTCGAATGAGAACAGCAGGTAGGTTTGGGTGGCAGAGTAGGCACATCCAGCCTTTTTTCTTCCCATTTTTCATGGTTTTCTATTTTTGAAGTTCATGTAATTTTTACAATTTAAGGAAAATAATTTATGCACTCAGTGAGAAGGAATTCACACTGTCAGACCTGATCACAGATGAACACAGTATTAAAGCCTAAAGATAAGTTTCTTTTTTTTTTTAAAGATTTATTTATTTATACAAGCACTGGGTACAGTCAGAAGTGCGGAAGGGTGAGCGAATTCACCAGAGCTAGAGCAGGGAACAGAACAAGCAGACTGACGAAATACACTGCTGAGGGGAGCAGTGGGCGCAGCAGGAGAGGTCTGTGCGCCATGTGGGACCCTCGCCGGTGGCCGGGGATCAAACCAGCGCTGCAGAGGCTGCAGGCAGCTTTACAGCCCAGCGCTCAACCGCTGTGCCACCAGGGGAGGCCCATGGATAAGTTTCTATTAACATTGTATTGACAGAAAAAAATAGGACTTCAATGAAACAAATTTATTTCTAGCATAGTAACTTTTTACATGTGCACTATTTTAACTTTGCTTACCTTTATAAGCTAATGCAAATATGTACCCACATTTGAACTAATTATGATTAAAATTATTTTTAGCTTATTTTAGAACAAGTTAATAGACTTAAACTAAGTCCTGAAGATAGGTAGAGTCTAGATAGCCAAAGAAAAGGGAAATTCTCTAAAAGAAATAGCCCAAGCAATCCTTGGAGAAGAAGAGTATAATATATTTGAAAGACTTCAAAGGAGTTAGCAATATTGAAGGTTTATAATAATGAGCATTTGGTAAGTAAAGGAAGGCTATATTACAGAGATCTTTAAATATCAGAAAAAGTATTTTGACTTTATCTGAGAGAAATAGAAAATTTTTCAAAGTTTTTGAGTATTAAAAAAAAAGTGTGTGCTAACATTTATCACTTTCAGATAATAAACAAATTGATTACTTACCCCTCCAACTAAGAAAATTTTATATCTCTGCGTAAAATCAATTCAAAATGATTGCCTCCCTTTTCCTGAATATATTCTTTCTCATTTTTTCTCTCCCTTACTTCAGATTTGGTAACAAAGAAGAATACATGGCATTCATGAATGATTTTTTAGAACATGAATGGGGTGGAATGAAGCGCTTTCTTTTGGAGATCTCTAATCCAGACACCATCTCAAACACCCCAGGCTTTGATGGTTACATTGATCTGGGCCGAGAGCTTTCAGTTTTGCATTCCTTACTGTGGGAAGTAGTTTCCCAACTCGATAAGGTAAAGTAGGCTGGAAGGGTAATAGGAGATGGGAGATAGTGAACCTAATTTACCTGAATTTTGGAGAGTATCGCAGCCACATTTTCTGCTAGTTAAAAGCAACCTTTTGACCTAGAAGTCTGGGAATAAATGGTAAATTTCTGAGTAAAATATGTGGCTTACAAGCCATGAAATTCTAGAAAGCATGAAATTATTAACACATTTTTAAGTAATTACCTGAATAATGGAGTTTATATTTCTACAAATCAATCATTATATATAACATATCTAAAAATTTGCTCAGAAACTGGTACCAAATATTGATATATGTAGTCTTATTCATGTTTTATAAAATCAGATAAAAACTCATGGTAATTTCTAACAATAGTGTAGAATTAGACAAATAGTGAAACTATCATGTTTAATTAGCTTTACCCATGAGATTATGTCTTTTATTATGCAAATCACAAGCTTAATATAACTGAGATCTGAAAATCCTAATGTTTTCTTTCTCTACAGATATGAATTAAAGAATACTGAAAACAATTATCATTATTAATAAATTTTTCTGACTATAAGTTAAGAATTTATTATAAGTCATATTAATAACTAAATGTGTACGATGGCAATTATTTTCTTCCTTCTATAATTTTGCAAAGAGGAATAGATTTTATAATGGAAATAGCCTAACAGATTTTGGCTAGTTTTATCACAATGATTATTATTAATGTTTTTGTTTGCTACAGGTACTTTGTAAATGTGTGGTGGTGTGTTAGAATTACTTCAAAAAACAAAAGTTATTTTTCTGTAATAAGAATTTATTGATTTGTTTTCCTCCATTTTCCTGTTATCCTTCAAAAGTACTGATAAAATCGGGGGTAGGGAGTAAAATCTCTTTACAAAGACCATTTTTCTGAGGAAATGTAAATGGTAGGGGGTCCACTTGTACTTAAAAATCTTTAAAATAATAAATCATTCCTTATTTCCAAGGACCCTTCTTGGCAGTAAGGGTCCTCGAAGTGACAGCTATGCTGGGGGTAAATTCCCTCAATATGAAGCATGGCTCAAGAGAGTTGAATAGTAAAGGCATTCTTCAGATGGCATTGTGCACATACAAGCAGGGTTGAGGAGTCTGTTGGTTGAAAAGACAAAGACAACCCAGAGGCAGCCATTTAAAACTGTCTAACTATTGAAGGGTCCCATAAGACCCCATGAGAATAAGAATTTATGAAAGAAAAAATGATGTGGTAGATAAAATAAGTACTAAAAAGTTATTCTCTGTTGAATAACTGCATCAGTGGGACGCAGAAACCCATAGCTTGTGAAATAGGCATTGTTTTTCTAGGTTCAAGGTCTTTTTTAATAGGCTTTGCTATATAAACACACTTTTTCCTTTTTAATCTATTTGGTTCTGGGAACCAAGACTACATCTGGACATGTCACATAGAGAGTTTACCTGATTTTGTTGTTTAAAAAAAAAATCATTTTCCTGATGCAAACTCAGTTGGTAGAAGGTTAGGGTTCCCAAGATTAAATGGGGTAATGGGTGACAATATCAACTGTGTGCCCTGCAGTGCTCTGGTCTCCTGAATGCAGCACCTTCTTTTATGTTGGCATGCATTTCTTTCCTCACATGATCCATTTTCTTTGGAAGTTCATCACACTAGCCCTCCTCTGGTCTTGAAACCCCTTTTGGTTAGAAGGTGTATGGTTCTTCCCCTTCCCTCCCCCATCTCAATCTACTAGCATCCCAAAAATTTAGTTTGCTTTGCATGTCTATTTTAGTTGGAATGGCAATTGTTTGGTTGTTTTGAGCATGACTTTTAATTTTTATTTGCATAATCCTAATTTCTATTTCCTTTCTTTCCTCAATGTCTGCTGCACCTTGTTTCGCCTCCTCCATTCATCTCGACGCCATGGTTCCGCTGCTCCATAACAATGCATTATGAACCTGCCACTCCCACATGCAAACACCTACCCTTCCCTCCAACCTACACCCCTCCATCAATGGGCATCATGTCCCAAAAACAATCTGTGGTGGATATCGAAATGCTTATTATCCAATTAGGGTGAAAATTCCTTCCTACAGGCGACCGTGGCAAAATTGGGACCTCTCCCTCGTGTTCTTGCTGATATCACTAAGTCTCTGACTAACCCTACACCAATACAGCAACAACTCAGACGCTTCACTGAGCATAACTCCAGTCCAAATGTCAGTGGAAGCCTCTCCTCTGGACTGCAGAAAATATTTGAAGACCCCACTGACAGGTATGAAAGAGAGATTTTGAGCTACTGTCTCAGAGAGATAATGTTTAAAGATTTGGCAGAAATCTATTTAACCTTTTTTTTTTTAATTTATAACTTTAAAGTCATAATCACCTGACCTGAGATAAATCCAATTGTTTGTCATAATACATGAGATCTGGTATAATTCCAGAATGATAGTATAGAGATAATATATTCAATAAGTGTGTTAAAATAAAACTACGTCCTGCTTCATGGAAGATTAAGGTCTTTATGAAATTGGTATTTTCCTATATTGTAGCACTCAAAGATCTGGAGCTCTTCATTTAAAACTATTTTAGAGCTGGCTCTGTGCACTGAACAAGTCCATTCAATGTAGATGCTTAGACATTGTTTTCTGTGTTGACATTGTTTTTTGAAGTGTGCCTAAGCAGGGATTCTTTGTCCCCTTAGAGCTCCTGCTCTTAAAGTTTTAGACAGAATTGATTAAGAATGAATTAGATTGTCTTGGGAGGGTTTAAAACCTAATTTGACTGGAATTCTAGAAAAAACCATAGACAATGATGGGGTAGGATACACCATTCAGGGATAAACTAAAAAATATTGGATCCTAAGAATTGTAGTGATGAAATCTGAGTTTAGAAAAAGATGTAACTATCCACATTGAGCCTGTGAGCCCTCAGAAGAGTTCATAAGCCTAAGGAATCTTAACTGCTGAATTTGCCTCAAGAGTAATTAAGGGTCATTCCTTTTCCACAGTGATTTGCATAAACTGAAATCTCCAAGCCAAGACAACACAGATAGCTATTTCAGAGGAAAAACATTATTGCTGGTTCAGCAAGCCTCCTCCCAAAGTATGACTTACTCTGAAAAGGATGAAAAGGAAAGTAGCCTTCCGAATGGTCGGAGCATCTCCCTCATGGACCTTCAGGACACTCATGCTGCTCAAGTGGAGCATGCATCTGTCATGCTCGATGTGCCTATGCGCTTGACTGGAAGCCAGCTTTCCATAACCCAGGTGGCGAGCATCAAACAACTGCGGGAAACCCAGAGCACTCCCCAGAGTGCACCCCAAGTGAGAAGGCCCTTGCATCCAGCCTTGAGCCAGCCAGGAACTCTCCAGCCCTTGTCATTCCAGAACCCGGTCTATCACCTCAATAACCCAATTCCAACAATGCCAAAGGCCTCTGTGGATTCGAGTTTGGAGAACTTAAGCACTGCCAGTTCCCGAAGCCAAAGTAATAGTGAAGACTTCAAGCTCAGTGGACCCAGCAATAGCAGCATGGAAGATTTTACCAAACGTAGCACTCAGAGTGAGGACTTCTCCAGACGGCACACTGTGCCAGACAGACACATACCTCTTGCCCTGCCACGGCAAAATAGTACTGGACAGGCTCAAATCCGAAAAGTGGACCAGGCTGGGTTAGGTGCCCGAGCCAAAGCCCCGCCATCCTTGCCACACAGTGCTTCCTTACGTAGCACCGGGAGCATGTCCGTGGCATCTGCAGCCCTGGTGGCTGAACCTGTGCAGAATGGGAGTCGGTCCCGGCAGCAGTCTTCATCCTCCAGAGAGAGCCCTGTTCCCAAAGTGAGAGCCATCCAGAGACAGCAGACACAGCAGGTAAGGGTGAGTGCCAGAGGCTTCTACTTGGTCCAACAAAGTACTTGTTCTTTATATATAAATCATTAAGAAATCCAGTTGCTACCAAGGATTCTACTTAAAAATATATTCTGCAGCCTTGAAAAGGGAAGAGCTAATGAAATGTGTGGGAGGCTTCTGGTTAGGTAAGGCTGCAAAGCAAGCATAGCCTGATTCATTTCCCTTAGGACACTCTCTAACAACCAGGTAGGGCCTTTCCTGCTCTGCCAGCAGCAGCTACAGCCTCAGTTTCCACTAAGAGCAGATGCATAGTCTTGAATGATTAATTAGAAACAAACCTTGAATTCTAGAGGCCAGATCAGCTAGAATATACTTTGGAAATACTAATCATTAATCATCAATTTATTTTTTCTTGCACTTCTGGAATAAACTTTTGCATTCTAAGCCAAGAGCTTAACAAAACTGCTCTTTACTCCATCCCCCAGCTCCCTCTGGAAATACCAACTCCCATGGGTCTTTTCCTGGAAATGGTTAGAAAAATAAACAACTGAACATCTGTAGAGGCAAGATAAAGGCAAATGGTAAAAAGACAGAAACACAGGTGGTTGACAAACATTCTAAACATTTAAAAAATCTCTTGTAGTACTATTTATGTTATAGGACAGGGAGAGGGGCACCCCAGACCCCCACAAACCTGCCTATTCTAAATGGGTTCTGCCATCCGCCGCATCAACACAAAACATAGGAGACTTTAATGGGAAGGAACTTTAATTAAACTAGGAAACAATACAGGTAAGGCAAAGAGTCTAGTTTCTAAATGAAGCACCCAAAGTTACCCGTCCCCTCGTGGGTAAAAGTCCATCCATATGGGATCGGCCCAGAACAAGGCCCCAAAGTCTACCACAAGTCTAAAACATCTTCCAGTGGGGACCCACAGAAAAGGGTCACAAACAACTGGACAAGCCCGGAAGGAAAAGAGCAAAATCAACATCAAGATAAAAGCTGCCATTGTCACCTCCACACAGGTCTCACCCACATCTGTGTCACCCAGTCCACGACCAAAAGACAAGCGCAGTTTCTTTACGTGTTTCTAGGCTCCATGCGTCTCCTCCAGGTCTCCTGGCTCCATCCTGCTTCCTTCCTCAGTCTCTTCTTCTGCTTCTCCTCTTCCTGCTCAGCTCCACCCTCCCTTGGGTGGGGCAGGGAACCTCCCCCTTTCCTGGGGACCACCCTGTTACAATCCCCCTTTTAATTTTTATTCCACCATATCTATGGTGGCACAATCTCAGGGTGTAGTCTTAGGAGACAGTCTTTTTTAGGGTTACAATGTGTGTAAGAGAAGCAACAATTAGTCAGCAGCATTGTCTATGAATGTCCAGTATGACAGTTTCATTACTTAAAAATAGTCCATTATCCAAGCCAAAAGAAAAAAATTTGGAGCATTGGCTAAAACAAGACAGCAAATATATCAAAATCACAGTTAAAAAATGTTAAAATGGTTCAACTGATGTAAAACACAAATTTTCTCAACCTTGATCCCAAACTTTTAACAGCATAGCAAAAGTTTGCAAACTAAATTTACTTTTAAACCATTTTTTCTATTTTTGCATAAAATCACAGAGTAGAAATAACTAACAGCAATTTTAGCTGGCTTTGTTGAAATATTCCATACAGGATCAGAGCGAACCGGCGGCATCCAGTCAATGTAGGCTTCAGGTATAAAGTTGGTCTCATCAGACTCCACCTGGGCTTTCCTCTTCTCGAGGGTACCAGGGCATTTTCGTTGGCCGGGTTGTCCAGTCCTGCCAATGGAGGCAAGCTTCCTCACCTTCTTTGGAGGTCTCTGGAACCCTACAAACAAGGCAAACAGGTTCTCCTCTTCTTGGTTCAGCTCTTTTTCAACTTTTTGGAAGAACTCCACACAAAGCCACACAATCAAACTTGCGTCCAATTTTCGTTAAAACAGACAAAATCCCTATGGAAGTTATGCAAAAACAGACTCTGAAATAAGTAGCAAAAATTACTACCACTATTTGTATGCTGTGTTGGTATCAAGGGGAGAGAAAATGTGACAAGTTAGCTTTGCTGGAAAAAAATTACAACCTTTCTGCAGATCCTGGTTAGTCAAAACAAAACAAAACAAAACAAAAATTTCGTGGATTCAGGACAGAATGCATAAAAAAAAAAGTTCCAGTATTATGTCAAAGAAACCTTATTAAATGTCAGGTGTATTTCCAGGTCTATTGAGTCCTTTGTAAGAAAGTTTTACTCTCAACAGTTCCATCAATAGGAATCTGTTGAGACCTTTTTTCCCTATATTTCCAGAAACAATTTCTGTAGATGTGAAACAATTGAATTATACAATATTACAAGGTGACAATCACCATTGACAATTTACATACATACCAGATACTGAGAGGTTAAAATTTGTGTTTTTACATCAGTTGAACCATTTTAAGATTTTTTTTTCCTGAAATTTTTACATATCTGCTGACTTGTTTTGGCTAACGCCTCCAGATTTTTTTTTGGCTTAAACTGATGAACTATTTTTTCCTGGAGTGGAGGACTTTTGCTTTCCACAATGGACAAATACCTGGAGAGACTGGTTTTCTTTCACACTGGAACCTGACAAAACGTTCATCTGAGACTGCATCCCAACCTCCATATATTTGATCTTCATCACCATGGAAATGGTGGCAAAAAGTGAAAGGGGGGAATTGTTAGGGGGAAAAGGCAGTCCCAAAGCAAATTCCATACAGGCTTTGTGGACTCCACCCCCACCCCAGGTCAAAGCCAAAGACACTGGGAACTCCAAATCCCATCACCACCAAAGGGAAGGTGGCTGGGACCTGAGGGTGGGGTTAAGCAGCCAGGTGGATACAAAAGGCAGACACGTGGGCTTTGGGGGCTCTCTCTCCATTTTGGGGCCCTCGGCCAGCTTGCGGCGTCTGTCTAGCTCTGAGAGTGACTTTGGGGTTTCCAGGTCGTCGGATCGGGTAGGACGCATTAAAGACTTTATTTCCCTATTTTCTCCCTGAGTTGTACATTTTCCTTATTTCTTTTTCTCTTGTAAATAAACCTTTTATTAACCCTTTTGCGTGTGTCTGTAGTAGAGTATTCATAAGTCCCTTTAAAGCGCGCGGGTGAGGACCCACAGCCAGGAACCCGTTTAATATCGGGGTTGCTCTATAACATTTACATGGGCAAACCCAGTTTGTCTCACAAGTAATCTTAACAGAAGATTTCCAAAACTTTTTTTTTTGGCTAAGGTTTCCCAATAATTTAATCATTTCTTTTTTACAGATTAAATTTTGAGACACCAATGCATACTTTGTGATTGAAACAAACATATAACTTTATGAATGTGTGTGTGTGTTTTATATATATATGTATAGATACATCTTACTTTCATCTAAAAAAAAGACTTTTTTCCTAGGAAACGTTTGAAACCTAATCTACTTATAAGCACTACAGAACTTTGTGATTAGAAGGGTTCAGTGACAATTCCTTTTGAAAAAACTGCAGTAAAACCCCAATCTAGCTTTTTAATATATTTGCATTTTTAAGGTGGGTATTTAATGATTTGTTTGCTTCTGCCTCCACTTTGTTATAATCAGAGACCCTTACCCCTACACTGATAGTTTTAACAAAAATTAGAACATTTACATAATCCTATATACAGAAGTAGTGGAAGGAATGAAAAGTGTGCATAACCTAGCTTTTATTGTTATAGAGCAACCCCGATATTAAACGGGTTCCTGGCTGTGGGTCCTCACCCGCACGCTTTAAAAGGACTTATGAATACTCTACTACAGACACACACAAAAGGGTTAATAAAAGGTTTATTTACAAGAGAAAAAGAAATAAGGAAAATGTACAACTCAGGGAGAAAATAGGGAAATAAAGTCTTTAATGCGTCCTACCCGATCCGACGACCTGGAAACCCAAAGTCACTCTCAGAGCTGGCCGGACGCTGCGAGCTGGTGGAGAGCCAAAATGGGGGATCCCCAAAGCCCACGTGTCTGCCTTTTGTATCAGGTGCCAGCCACCTTCCCTTTGGTGGTGATGGGATTTGGAGTTCCCAGTGTCTTTGGCTTTGACCTGGTGTGGGGGTGGAGTCCACAAAGCCTATATGGAATTTGCTTTGGGACATCCTTTTCCCCCTAACATTATCACTAACAGGTTTCTGGGGCACAACTCCTAGCTAGTCATTCTTTTTTAAGAAATAAACCTTTTTTCAGCCTTAAATTTTTCATTTTTATTTTGTTAATAGTCTCCGAGTTTTCACCAATTCATTTGACTTAATAAGCATTTTTATTTAAAGAAAAGTGAAAAGAAGATACATATTGAGATACTTTTCTTTTTATCTCATCTATATCCATTTAACTGGTATGTTAGGATGCTTATCAGTCATACCTTAGTTTGAATTAGTTTCCATATATTGCTTTTATGTTAACATCTAGTTGAGATCAACTGCTTTCAGAATATTAATGCACTTACAGGGAAGAGATGAAAAAATAAGCAATTTTAAGATGGAATATTTGGTGGATGCAAACCTGAAGGCCCTGAGGTTGAGGTAGCAAGTTAGAGACGTTTGCCAGATTGGCAGAGAGGGACAGGAAAGCACCCTTCACCTACTTTTCAGAAATTGACTTAGGTCCAGCTCTAGACAGAAAAGAGGAATTAAATTTTTTTCTTCTACTTATACTTACTGCCCATTACTCTGGTGTCAGGTAGTTCTCAATTCCCAGGGCCTGCGACTCAGACTGATTGTTTATTAATACTATAAATTAAAAAGGCTTTTTATGTGATTGTCTGGAACCAGTTGTCATTCTTAGTATTTCTCCTGTAGGAAACTATAAAGCTTGGTACACATGCCTTTGAGTGACTAGAAGGCTAGATGGATAGAGGTGGAAATGCATACAGTCTCCAAGCAACCAGAAGTGAGGCTACTGGGGGAGGGGGGATGGGTTGGAACAAAGGAGGGAGGGGGCACAGTGGGCTAGAGTAAAGGACTATCAGTGCTTGGATGGTGGGGGAAGGGTGTTAACATACATCTGAGGAGGTGTGAACCTATTCCCCTAAATCATATGAAGTGTTGTAACCAATGTTACCTCAATAAAGGAAAAATAGAAATAAAGATTTCTCACATGATGAGCCACAACTATGAGTAGATGTCCTAGCCAAATTTTAACTATTTATCTTTATTTATGTGTTTTGGGTGCCGTCATTGTACTTTGCTCAAGTTTCTGGTTTTTCTAAACTGACTTTCTGTGCAGGAGGTTTATTCTTCTTGACTTATTTTAATTTTTCCCTTAATTTTCTGTTTTTTGCTTGCTTTTCGCATTGCCCATGCTGCTTCTGAAGTTCTGTATAATCAGCACATTTTTAAGGCAAATTCCTTTACATATTTTAATTGCAAATTGTGTTGGGAATTCTTCTCTCCCCAAAACTAGAGGATTTCTTTGTGGGAATTATTCTGTAGGCGACTGTAATTATCGGTAGCTTTGTCCCATGCAAATTCCATTTGTATCTTAGCACAAAGGCTCAGCCATTGCTGGCAGCGTGACTGGCTTCAGTCTGCTTCATCTAGTGAGGAGGAAATAAGTAAAATCCTAGTGAAACAAGTTACAGAGAATTGTTTCTTAGGAAATTGTCCCGATCTTTTTTACACATTTCTGTCTCTTTTTGGATTTTTTTTTTTCATTTTCCTCTCCATTTTCTTTTCTGTGTGTGTGTGTGTTTTATTGTGGTAACATTGGTTTAAGGCACTGTGTAAATTTCAGGTATACAGTTTTACAATTTTGTTTTCATGTATCACGTTCTCTGGCCTCACATTTTGAGTTTTCTTTACATTACTTACAAAATATGAGTTGTTAGATTCAGCATGTTACCTAACCTTAGAAATTTAAATTTGAAGAGGGTCTTTGAAGGTAGGTATTTGGCAGGCCTATTGGAATGGTGCTACAGTTTTCGCATTTGGGTTTGTTGAACCCTCCTAATTAACTTCTTCAAGGACTCTTAGCATTTACTTAATAATTTACTTAACCTTTTCTTTGGTGTTGCTATCACACATATTATTCAGATATAGGAACCTGAATATTTCAGACTATAAAGAACCGAAACCAACAAGTCTTGTTTATAGCTTGTAAATACTAGCAAGGAACAGGGAACAGAATTGTCCTCAATTGCCCTCAGCACAGCCAAGCTATGACTAACTGTTGGGTCAGTAAAACTGCTGTTGGACCCTTTTGCCCTAAAGCATTGTTCTTTTTCCCAGAGAAACCGGACACTCAAAATAGAGAAATTCCTAATGGGAATTCCTGTTCCTTTTTCTTTTCACACTTCATTTTCTTTAATGATCCTGTTACAGGGCAGGGAGAGGGCAACCCAAAACCCATGGTCCTGCCTATTCTAAATGGGTTCTGCCATCCGCCACATCAACACAAAACATATGAGACTTTAATGGGAAGGAACTTTAATACAATTAGGAAACAATGCAAGAAAGGCAAAGAATATAGTTTCTAAATCAAGCACCCAAAGTTACCCATCTCCTCATAGGTAAAAGTCCATCCAAATGGGATTGGCCCAGAGCAAGACCTCAAAGCCTGCCACAAGTCTAAAGCATCTTCCAGTGGGGACCCACAGAAAAGGATCAGAAATAACCAGACAAGTCTGGAAGGAAAGGAGCAAAATCAAAATCAAGACAAAAACCACCATTGTCACCTCCCCACGGTTCTCACCCACATCTGTGTCACCCAGTCCACGACCAAAAGACAAGCGCAGTTTCTTCACGTGTCTCTAGGCTCCATGCGCCTCCTCCAGGTCTCCTTCTGGCTCCATCCTGCTTCCTTCCTCAGTCTCCTCTTCAGCTTCTTCTCTCCCTGCTCAGCTCCACCCTCCATTTGGGTAGGGCAGGGAACCTGGAATCTCCCCCTTTCCTGGGGACCACCCTGTTACAATCCTTTTGAAAGTCAGTGAATATAAACACCCTTCCTAAGGCTATAGCTAAGCAAGATTGGATATGAACCACTTACCAACCTCTTTTCTCAAATTCTTTTACTTTTATAAAGTACAGGTAATAAATTTGGTTACCTATCCAGCTTATAAAGATGGAATCAGCATTGAGGAAAAGCCTTTGAAACACTTCCAGAGGATTAGAGGAAAAACACCAAGTATCCTTCTCTAAGTAATAAATTATCCTTTAGCAATGAATTCCAAAGAGTATCCAGAATATTGATAAACAAGTAATATTTTGTTGCACATGTATTATTCATTTAACTAGGCACTACCATGCAAAAAATTATATATGTTACAGTCCCTCAAGCATTGGCAACCTAACTGGGAAATAAGACCAACACACATAAGACCAATAGAGAATATGTCTGAGACATATAATTATCTCATATGAAGACCATGTTATAATAAAAAATAACTTTGAAACAAAATTATCTCTAGTTTCTTCCAATCTAGCACAATAACTATATTTGATTTGTTCAATATTACTTTCCCATCTTTTTATAAGTATGTAAAGACTGTATCATGAATACAAACAATAGTTATAATTGGTCTGATGTATTTTTTTCAACAGTCACTGACCTACCATATGCCATGCAGTGTGCTGCTGTATATTAGGAAGTGATTGAAAATCAGATTCAACCAGTAAAATAAGAGCAGGCCCAAATGCCAGTTCTGATTGTACAGTCTTACCTAATTCATTGGACATTGTTAGTCCTTCTGACTAATAATGGTTAGTACTTTGTTTTTAGGGCTTCTCACTTAACAATTAAAACCTAGATTGCCCCAGGATTTCTGTTGTTGTTTTTAATAAGCTTTTAGGAGTTAAGATCCTCCTTGGCGTGTTCTGAGGAATTCCATTAGTTTGCATTGCATTTAAAAGCCCTCAATAAAATAGTTATCAATAACAAATCACAGGGAAAGAAGGTTCAGTGAAATCGCATCTTGTTAACTATATAAAGCAGAAACCTATTTGAGTTAGCGGCCTTGAAGTAATAAATACCAAATAGTCAACTTGTTACTAGTTTTAGTATCTTTATTTCAAACAGTAATTGAATAGAAAATTCTGGTTTCACAGAAAAGCAGTTTTCCTCTGCGCACTGTGCTAAAGCAATAATATTGTAAAATTTGAAAAGCATTTGTCTCCCTAAACATTGACTTTATATTAATTTTTATGACCCAGGGCACATTCTTTTTTGCCTTTCAGGTATACATGTATCAAATAATAACCTAAACCCCTTTATTAATTTTCATTACCAACACTAAAATAATTTTTTGTGCTCTGCCTTTAAAATCCAGTAGATGGGCCTCCCTGGTGGTGCAAGGGGCTAAACACCACACTATGAAGCAATCTGCAGCCTCTGCAGCATGAGTTCGATCCCCGACCACCAGGGAGCAACCCACATGGCGCAGCAGACCTCTCCTGTCTCATCCACTGCTTCCCTTAGCAGTGTGTTTCATTCAGTCTGCCTGTTCTGTTCCCCACTCTGTCTCTGGTGAATCCTCTCACCCCCCACATCTCTGGCCTGTACCCCAGCTCTTGCGTGCATAAATAAATAATTCTTTAAAAAAGAAGAAAATTAAATAAAATCCAGTAGATGGAGGGAGGAAGAAAGAGAGAGGGAGGTTGAAAGGAGGGGGGGAGAGAGAGAGAGAGAGAGAAACTGGAAGTCTACCAAGTGCTTTTGATGCTCACTCATTTGTTTCTCGTAATAACTTTTCATGTAATTATTATCTTCCTTTTTTTAAAAGATTTATTTATTTATTTATGCGCATAAGAGCTGGGGTACAGGCCAGAGATGCGGGGGATGTGAGGATTCACCAGAGACAGAGTGAGGAACAGAACAGGCAGATTGACCGAAATACACTGCTGAGGGGAGCAGAGGGCAAGCCAGGAGAGGTCTGCTGCGCCATGTGGGTCAGCTCCCTGGCTGGGATCGAACTCGTGCTACAGTAGCTGCAGACAACTCTGGAGGTTGCATCTTAACCACTTGCACCACCAGGGAGGTCCATAATTATTATCTTCCTTTTATAGATGATACTGATTCCTATAGTAGGCCATTGCTCCCAAAGTGTGATACTCAGTATACAGAATATTTATTTAATTAATCATGTAATTATTTTAACACATATTAGGATAAGATAACTTTTTAAAAGGGAAAAGAAAAAATATAACTATTAATATAAATGTGTATCAATAAAGAAGATATATATAACATCAAACATGATTTTACTGGTATTATTTAGCATAAGAATTTAGCTAACTGGAAAAGTTGGCTTAAAAAGATAGTAATAGTGACTCCCTGGTGGTGCAAGGGGTTAAGCACAGAGCTATGAAGCTGTCCCGCAGCCTCTGCAGCATGAGTTCAATCCCTGGCCAGCCAGGGAGCTACCCACACAGCATAGGAGACCTCTCCTGCCTTGCCCGCTGCTCCCCTTAGCAGTGTAATTCAGTCAGTCTGCCTGTTCTTTTTTTATTCCTTAAAGATTTATTTTATTTATGCATATAAGAATTGGGGTACAAGCTAGACGTACAGGGGGTGAGAGGATTCACCAGGGAGACTGGGGGAGCAAAACAGGCAGATCTACTGAAACACACTGCTGAGGGGAGCAGCGGGCACGACAGGAGAGGTCTGCTGCACCATATGGGTTGCTTCCTACCTGGCCGGGATAGAACTTGTGCTGCAGTGGATAGGGATAGCTTGATAGCACTGTCTTTAATCCCTGTGCCACCAGTGAGGCCCCAGTCTGCCTGTTCTGTTCTTCACTCTGTCTCTGGTGAATCCTCTCACCACCACCCTGCCCTGCATCTCTGGACTGTGCTCCAGTTCTTGTATGCATAAATGAATAATAAATCTTTAATTAAAAAAAGATAGTAATATATCAGAGATAAGCTGTAACAAAGATAATGAAAGTGATACATGA